AGTCGATTGGCACGCGTATTTACTTGAATATTCTGATTGTTTCGGTGATAATGTATATTTGAAGGCGCTGCAAGATGCGAGCGGGGAAGTATTGAATTTGGCGAGACAAGCGAAGCTTCGGAGCGAAATAAAGTGAACCAGTGTGATTAATAATTAGTGTTCTAAGTTTTAATTAGTGTAAAGTGAATTAAAGAGTTAATTTTGGTAATTCTATCGGCAATTTTTATTGTCACGAACCTCAAGCTCATAACAGTATGTATAATACGACCCCACTGGGATCGCGAGAGAGAGAGAGATAGGCGATCAGCCGGGAGGAGGCAACTAAAACACTTTTTTTTTTCTAGGTAGCTTCTTGTTCCTTAGGTTTCGTCTTCCTTTTTCCTTGTTGTTGTAGCCTCTTCGACGGCTGTGCTGCGACTGCGATTTGAGCCGACGCGAATGCGAATGCGAATTTGCTCGACTTTTATACCCGCCGGCGTTACCGTAAGGACGTTTGCGCGGTTTTGCCTGTCTCGCGTGTTGTTTTTATTTCGAGCCGAAACCTTAGAAGCCTTTATTTATTAAAACTTTCACATAACCCTTACAATTTATACATCGTTAGGGTACATCGCTCTGGTACTGTTCTATAATATAAAATAATAATATAAACTATTAAGTTCTTTATACAAAATTTCTAGAGCAAAAAACCCTACAAAATTGTTAATTTACTATACATTTTATCTTATATTTATTGAAACAGATGTCTGATCTACTTATTTCTTTTTGTTTATATTACGTTACATTTAAACCTTTAATCTTACACTAGTTTTCAAGCGCTAAACCAAACTTAATTTTTTTATAAATATTTACAATACAAATTTTCGCTTAAAAACTTCCTTACAAAATTATTATTAAAAGCTAACCTTTAAATTTTATAATTATATTTAAATAATATTCTAATATGAGTTAATACGCTAATTACACTAATTGAGAAATTATAATAGTCTTAAAACACAGTTCGTCACTTGTTAATTGTGCGTGCTTTGTAGCCGACATTCTCCCCCTCGTGCGTCGCACCATCCTCCTGGCTCGGCGATACTACAGGCACCAGCAGCACTACTCTCGAACTGGGTCTTCTCAGCACACCTCCGCGCGTCTCGACGTCGACGATCCTTGTTCGCCCATCAGGTCCAGGATACACTTGGGAGATTCTGCCGCGTGGCCAGGTGCATCTTCGTAGGCTGTGGTCGACGATCAGCAGGATGTCTCCAACTTGCAGGTCCGTGGCGCTGGTTCTTGCCTTCGTCTTCCTTGGCAAGAGAGTGGGTAAATATTCTCGCAGCCAACGTTGCCAGAAGTGGTCAGCAAGCCGCTGCGTGGCCTTCCATGTAGATCTGCCCACGAGTTCGCTGTCGTCGAAGCTGCCGATTCTCGGTACGCCTCAGGACCGCCCGATGAGGAAGTGGTTCAGTGTTAGTGCTTCTTCTTCAAGTTTATCAGAGAGGTGTGTGAGAGGTCGAGAGTTGACTACGTGCTCGGCCTCTAGGAGGAGAGCGTAGAGTACCTCCTCTTGTGGATACTTTTCGTGAAGTGTGGCATCTAGTGCGGTCTTGACTGATCGCACCAAACATCTCCATGCGCCACCCATATTTGGCTCACCTGGAGGGATGAATTTCCATTGCACGCCGATCTTCTCTGCTTCTGAGGTGAGGTCTTCTTGCTGCAAGGTGTCACACGCTTCTTTTATTTCTTTGTTGGCACCGACGAAGTTAGTCCCGTTGTCGCTGTAGATTTTCGTAGGCATCCCTCTTCTTGCGGCGAATCGTCGCAGCGCCATGATCATGCTGTCGGTGGAGAGCGAAGGAGTTAGCTCAATGTGCACAGCCCTTGTTGTGAGGCATGTAAATAGAGCCCCCATCTCTTTTCGTGCCGTCTTGCCACGGTGATTGTCATCGGGCCGAAGTAGTCCACGCCCGTGCACGTAAAAGGAGGATATCCGTGCATCAGCCTTTCCGCCGGTAAGTTGCCTGTTGCTATTTCTTGAGGTCTTGCTTTCCTTGTTTTGCGCCATTGACATTGATGCTGAACCGCCTTGATTGTTGACCTTAGACCGAGTACCCAGAAGCGTTGTCGTATTTCATTCATCACCGTCGCGTGATTTCCATGATTGAAGCGGCAGTGGAATTCTTCTACGATGAGTTGTGTTGTCTTGTCCTTGCTGTCGAGCACGATGGGTCGTTTGTAGTCCCTGGTCACACCCTGTATCGCGTCGATTCTTCCTTTTAGCCGCAGGAGACCCTCTTCTAGTACTACGTCGAGCCTTTTCAATTTACTGCTGCCCTCTAATTGCTTCCCTTGCTGAAGGCGTTTGATGTCTTCTCTGAAACTGTAGTTTTGGCTTCTTTTCGGCAAAAGAGTTTCAGCTATCTCGAGTAGTTCGGTGTCCATCGGTATATATTTCCTTTCTGTTATTTTTGAAGATCTGTGTTGCTTCTCTACAGTCTTCGTTCCTTTTCTTTGTGTCATATTCCAGGTGGGATCATTTTTACAGACGTTGACCTTCTCCCTTTTTCTGCAGAGTTGTAAGAACTGCAGTACTCTCGCTGTGGCTCGCCAAAGCCCCTTCCATGAAGAGAATCTCTCCGGGTCTGGTGATGGATGAGATGTTTGTGTTGTTGCTGCGACGTCCGCTGCCCTTTCTTCGCCGGTGGTTGTTTTCTTGAAAGTTCTTGGTGCCGGCCAATGTGACTCTTCTTTTTTCAGGAAGCTTGGTCCGGTGTACCATCGGTGGTTGCAGTCGAAGTCTTCTGGTACGTCACGCGTTGCGTCATCTGTAGGATTCTGCGCTGTAGGCACCCATCTCCAGTCTTGCGGTTTGGTGAGGTCCTCTATCTCCGCCAAGCGATGAGCCACGAACGTCTTGAAGGTTCTCGGGTCTGTTTTTATCCAGGAAAGTACGATGCTGGAGTCTGTCCAAAATGTTTTCTTTGTTACTTTCAGGTCCATTTCTTCTTCCGCTGAATGAGCCAGTCAGTGCTTCCTAGGAGGGCTGCCTGTAGTTTGAGTCAGTCGAGGGATGGACATTGACTTCAGTGGAGTGACTCTCGCCTTTGCTGCCACTAAGCTGACATGGTAAGTCCCATCTTGACCTTCTGTCCTCCAATAAACCGCTGCTGCGTACGCCAGCTTACTCGCATCAACGAAAGTGTGTAGCTGCCCCTCGGTGCAATGTGGCGTCAGGCATCTCGGAACTTGCAGGCCTTGGAGCAGCTTCATCTTCTCCAGGTAAGTTTTCCATGCTTCGTACTCCCTTTCTTTTATTTCGTCATCCCCACCGACGCCACTTGGCCATATATTTTGAAGCAGCTTCTTGCCTTGGATGAGAACTGGTGATGCTAAACCCAGCGGGTCAAAGGTCGAAATTACTGCGCTGGTGACTTCCCTCTTCGTAGGCACCTTGAGTCCCCTTGCTATTTCCTCTGGTGTATTTCGGAGGTTTGCCCTGAAGCCGATGGATTCCCTTTTCGTGAACCAGCGCAATCCTAATATCTTCTCTTCCTTCTCGCCTAGGTCCACTTCTGTCTTCTCAATAGCGACGATCTTCACGTCTTGCGGCAGCTCGGGTTGATTTGACGCCCATCCCCTGAGTTCGAAGCCTGCCTTCTTATGTATGAAGTCCACCTGCGTCGTCACTTTATAAAGTATTCTTCTGAGTGGAAGCTGTGCAGGTAATCGTCCATGTAATGGTTTAGCTCGACCGCCCTTGCTGCCTCTAGATACTGCTCTTTAAAGTCCGCTGCGTTTCGGTTCTTTACATAGATTGCGGTGCTCGGAGATGATTCTGCACCGAAGATAACCGATGTCATCCTGTACTCCTTCGGAGGAACGTCCGCGAACAAAATCCTCGCTATCTCTGTCTTCTGGTCGAATGCGAACTTGAAGAAACATTTCTTTGATATCGGCTGCCACAGCTAGCGGGCCCTGTCGAAACCTTAGTAGTATCCCGAAGAGCGACTGTAGTAGATCTGGTCCTGGCAGTAGAGCATCGTTGAGGCTTCTTCCCTTTGACTTGGCTGCAGCGTCGAAAACGATCCTTATCTTTTTCTTCAGTGGATGTACTACGGAGAAGTGAGGGAGGTACCATTTCTTCTTGGAGTCCTTTTGTGTCATAGGTGCTTCTTCTGCATACTTGCTGTCGATAAGATGCTGGATCTGCTTGATATATTCTGCCTTTAGCTGAGGGTCCTTATCTATCTTCTTTTCAATATTGAACAACCGGTTCTTTGCAGACGAGTAGCTCTCAGGCATCTGTTCATCTTCATTTTTCCATAAGACTCCAGCTTCGAATCGTCCATATTCAAGTCTTCTGCAGGTCTTCTCTAGGATGGCGAGTGCTCTTTCTTCTGAGTCTGTGGTGGGTCTTCGTGGTTGCACGCCAAGCGCCTCGATTGCAAAGTGGTCCTTGACGGCTTGATGCATCTCCTCATCTGGTGTGCTGACATGTAGACACGTGTTCATGAAGTGTACTACTCTTACAGCCCCGGTGTCTGATCCGTGGAGCACCCATCCAAGCCCTGTCCTTAAAGCAACTGGTTCTCCTGGTTTCCCTTTCCTTACTTCTTGAGTCACTATCAGCTCCCAGTTGTCTTGACCGATGAGCAGCTGTGGTGATTCCCCTTTATAATAAAGAGAGTCGGCGATCTTCTTCAAATGTTGGCATTCTTCTATCCTTTTCTTCTCTAGGAACTGCGGTGCAAGCTTCAGCTCGTTGATTCGGACTCTCTTCAAGGTCTTCTTGCTTCCTTGATGAACCCCCTTCACTACAAGGTCCAGCGTCTGAGAATCATTCTTCTTGATTTGCCTGCCTCCTACTATCTCGATGATCAGCTCCTCTTTGTTGCCTTAAGCGCCAACTTCTTCTGCCACCTTCGCATCAATAAGCAACACTGTCGACCCTTCATCCATGAAGGCCAATATTCTTTTGGATCCTTTTGGCCCGAAGACTTCTACTGGAACTATCTTCAGGTACGCCCTTGATAGCCGTTGTTGACTGCGTTCACTGATGTCATGACGCTTGCTACTTCTTCTTGTGTTTCCGCCTTCTTCTCTCCCGAGGTCCTGTCTTCTGATTCGACGTGCAGCAAATGATGATGCCACCTCTTGCATTCCTTACATGGTGGTTTCTTGCAGCTCTCCTTTCGATGTTTCCCTTGAAGACATTTGAAGCAAACGTGACTTTTCTTTACTGTTGCCCATCGATCTTGTACTGACGTCTTCTGGAACTTCTGGCAGTCGACGAGGAAGTGTCCACCTTGACACATAGGACAAGTCTTTTCTGTTGACTGTCTTGTATCTTTTTCTTTAGTCTTTTTCCCTCGTAGAATGCGTTGCTTGTCGATGAGTTCTTCGGAACGCGCTCTTCTCTTCTGAGGTCGCGAAGGCTCCACATTTGTCTGCTTCGCTGTTTAGGAACTTGGAGACCATCGTCAGGTCGGAGAACTCGCCCTCTTCTGGCTGCATAAAGTCACCACCGGAACTTCAGAATTGTAGGCATTTTTTCTATAATTTGCTTTACCATTTCAGGTGAATGCAGGTACTGCGGTTTCTTCAAACACTTTATTGCTGCTACGCTGTTGTCGATTTGGTCTCGCAAAGACGCATATATCCCTTGGATTTTCGGAAATCTTCGGCAACGCCCTGACTTTGTCCAATTCAGCCAGCACCAGCACATCAGGTCTTCCATATCGTCTCCTAAGGGCCTGTATTACTTCCAACGGAGAGGCTTCAGAGTACAGCAGCCTCTTGATAGCTTCTCTTGCGTTGCCCTTTAGTGCTCTTCTTAGTCGAGCCATGTTTTATACTGTGTTTAACATCGGGGCGATATCTTTTTGACCACCTTGAAGGCCAACCACTCGCTGCTGTTGCCATCGAAGTAGGGTAGCTCGTGGATATACTTTGGCTGAGCTACTGGTCCTTTTTTGTGGTAAGGGCTACCTTCAATGCTATCGTCAGCGCTTGAATCTCGCTCGCGTATCTTTTTTCGTTGAGGAGTTCTCTTCAGGCTTCACATTTGGTTCTTCCGGAGGGTGCTGACCTCGTTGCTCGTATTTTCCCATGTTATTTTCTTCCAGTACTGATGTCATTTCTTTCTTCCTGTTTCATCAATCCTCCTCTTCACAAACATCCGCACTGCTTGCTACTCCATGCGTGCTAATTCTTCTCCCTTCCACTCCCGTCTCCTCTGAGACTCGTGTCTTCTGGACCTGGCGCGACGAACGACCCCCTTTGGCTTAAGGGTTGTGGCAGTGCCATGAACGCCCTTGTCTGCTTCTTGGTCGTCTCCTTCTGTGCGGCTTCATGCTTCTGTCCTTTCTCCTCGCACGCCGCCGTGGTGGCAGTTGCAACCGTGGTCTCTGTCGTGGTGGTATCCTCTGTGGTCGTAGTGCCTGAAGAAACTGACGTAGTTGCTGTTCCTGATGATGCTGCCGCTGACGCAGACGTGACCCCTTCTGATCCCGACATTTCACCTGTCACGTCCTTATCTGAGGGACGTGAGGGGGCATCCTTCTGTGACCTGGTAACCGGCATCTTGAACGGATTCTTCTATATACTTCTAGCAAGGATCCGGATTTCGAAGGACCAACTGTTTCGGACGGCAGGGACACGTCCAGTGCCCGCAGTCGCCCTGGGACAATCTCCCACTTGATGACGTACGTTCCTTGCTTAGTGCTGGTGACGCACGTCCCATGCACCATATGTATAATACGACCCACTGGGATCTCGAGGAGAAAAATAGAGAGAGAGATAGACGATCAGCCGGGAGGAGGCAATTAAAACACTTTTTTTTCTAGGTAGCTTCTTGTTCCTTAGGTTTCGGCTTCCTTTTTCCTTATTGTTGTAGCCTCTTCGACGGCTGTGCTGCGACTGCGATTTGAGCCTTTTTTTTTTTTTTTTGCGCCCGAAGCAATTAAAGGGCTACCCTGTACGTAGGGAGGCGGAAAATGCATTACGCATACCACGATAGCCGGTCTATCGTGGTTATGGGGGACTCACTGTCCTACCGGGGACCCTAAGTGATACCCCTAAAAACCGCCTTTGGGGACAGGCAACCGGCTGATTAAGCTCTATTGTGCCTTATCATGAGCGACCCTCTTTTGGGAAAAGAGGGCGCAGGCGGCTAAGTGCCGCTGAGGGAGTGCCTACGAAGGCAAATTAATGTCAGATATTACAATAATTTTATTTAATTAGAGTTGGCCTGAGCCGCCAGGAGACAGTTCAGGTCGTTTGAAAGTTTATTAGGCGGGTCCGAGAGAGAGTTTCTCGGCCTGCGGACACGATAGCGAGAGGGGGGTGGGGCTGCATAAGAAGCTGCCTCACGAATTAAATGGTTTGGGTGCGACTCTGAGGCTTTGAAGAAGTTCTCAGAGAGTTTTTTAAGAAATTGTTGAATTGTTGGGAGCTCTAAGTCCCGATGAAGGTCGGCATTACGAACGTACCACGGTGCGTTCGCAGCTCGACGACAGAATAGGTTCTGAACTATTTGGAGTTCATTTAAAATGTTAGGGTTTGCGTGGGCAAAGACGGGGCCCGCGTAGTACATGACTGGTCGTATACATAACTTGTAGAGGGTACGCTTGTTTCGAAGGGACATTTTACCGTGTCGGCCCAACATACTGTTGAGCCTACTCAGATAAAATCGTGCGTGACGGGTTACTCTTTTGACGTGGGGCTTGAAAGTGAGCCCTGTGTCTAGAGTGACACCTAAATATTTGGCGGACGTATGCCAGGGGACAGGGGTCCCTAGCATACGTATTGGAGGAGTGTTTTTGAGACGGCGTCGTTTATAATCGAAGTGAACGGCGGAGCTCTTCTCCGGGTTCACATCGATGCGCCATTTTTTGAACCAAGCTCCTAGGTCATCAACTGACTTTTGGATCTTGTTCCGTATGAAGGGTAGTGAGACACCTTTGCAGTAGATGGCAGTGTCGTCTGCAAAGAGGGAGAGTTGAACACCTTTCGACGGGATGGGAATGTCGTTGGTGAACAGGATGTACAGCAGAGGAGCAAGTACTGAGCCCTGAGGGACACCAGCCTTGATAGTTCGCTGTGAAGAAAGCGTGCCTTCGTGTCTAAAACGAAAGGTACGATGTTTTAAATAGGAGGCCACGAGACGAACTAGACGATCGGGGAGACCTATTTTATAGAGCTTGTAGATGAGGCCTGTGTGCCAGACTCTATCGAAAGCTTTGGCTATATCGAAGAAGACCGCGATGGTTTTATGACGTCGAGGGTAGAAACCGCTGAGGATATATTCCACAATGCGGTGAACTTGTTGGGGACATGAGTGTTTGGCTCGGAAGCCGAATTGATGGGGGATGATGAGAGGGTCGCCGTCTGTGGGAAACAGAAAGCGCCTCATACGCGTTTGAATGACTCTTTCGAAGAGCTTGCCCATTGCCTTGAGGAGGCTAATGGGGCGATGGCTGGAGGGGGAGGTTGAGAGGCTTGCCTGGCTTGGGAATTCCAATCACAGTTGCCTCTTTCCACGTAGTGGGAAAATAACTAAGGTTGAAGCAGGCGTTGAAGATAATAGATAAAAAGGTTAACACCTGCTCGGGAAAGTGTTTAAGGGCTTGGTTGGAGATGCCATCCGCGCCCGGAGCCTTTTTGGGCTTAAGTCCTTTGATGAGAGATGAAATCTCATCATTGGACACAGAGATAGGTTCGGAGGCCGTGGGGGGTGAGTTCCGGCGGCGGACCTCATCCTCCACTGCCTGGACGTGTGAGGGGTCGACAGGTTGAGAACTAGGGGAGCATTGAGCGGCAATGCTATCCGCAAAGCACTCAGCCTTTTCCTCGTCCTCGAAGGCAACCGTGCCGTCGGGACGGGAGAGAGGGGGAGTGTGGGTGATAGCGTCTATGCGGAGGGCTCTAGCCATCTGATAGTACGCTGTGTGAGATGGAGAGATATTCTCCATGAGCTTACTCTTTTCGAGATCTTGAAATTCAGAGAGGCGGAAGCGGAGTTTTCGTTGAAGACGATTGGCCGCGCGCCTATATTCGGGGGTGGGATATTTTGCTGCTCTCCGGAAAGCAGCTTTTTTGGCTTTTATTAGGTTGCTAATATGTAGGGGAAGCCCACTATTGTTAGCAACCGGGACGACCCTTTCGTTCTCCTTAAGGGAGGATTTAATAAGGGTGGAGAGTGAATCGACCGCGGTGTCGATTTTTTCGGGACTGTCTAAGTCCGTCGGTATGGAGATGGTAGAATCCTGTGAGTCCAGGGCTTTAGCTAGGGACTCCTTGAATCCCTTCCAGTTAGTGAAGGTTTTCGTGTGTGTTGGGGGAGGTGGCTGATGGCCAAGAATGAGGGAGACCGGTCGGTGATCTGATCCTAGATCGTCTAGTGTCTCGATTGCTCTGAGGTTGAGAGAAACTCCTTGGAGTAACGCAAAATCTAACACATCAGGTGAGTGATCGGTGTTATCGGGAAAGTGAGTAACACCGAGAGGACTATGGACGGTGATATCAAGAGACTGCGTGATATCGAGCAGTATCTTGCCACTAGGGGACGTAGTGCGGCATGTCCATTCAGTATGCTTTGAGTTAAAATCTCCAAACATAATGACTGAATTGCCCAAGGATAAAATGGCCTCAAAATCTTTTTTGAGGGGATAGGTTCCTGAAGGGATGTAACAGGAGGCTATGAGGATGGACTGATGTCCAGTCATAGCTAGCCTGCATACCGTGGCTTCCATGTTGGTAAGCTGCGGAGTAGAAATGGGCGAGCAGTGAAGTGTCTTCTTGTAATAGATGGCCGTTCCGCCGCCTCGGCGGTCGGGTCTGTCATTACGAAGAAGAGAGAAGTTTTTAATAGAAAGGCCTCTAGTGTCCTTAGCTTTGAGATTAGTTTCCTGTAGGAGGAGGAAATCGACTTCACGATTTCGAAGAAAGAGCTTAAGCTCTGGGAGGTTATTTCGCAAGCCGCGAATATTAAATGATACAAGCGATAAACCCTTAGGTTTGATACGACCGTGGGATCTTGGTAGGTTAGTTTGCTCAGGCATTGGAGTTAAGTTAATTACGTTAACTTAACTTACAACGCTAGCAGAAGAGTTATGTTCGGCAAGAGCGAGGAGACGTTCTTGGGGGGACTTCGCCGCGCGCAGTTTGCGTGCTATAACGGTAATCTCTCTAACATCGATATTCCTAATAGCGGAGTATAGCGTGTTGTAGTCGTCTGTTGTGGGCTCTGCTTCGTGTGCGTACGAGGTTGTCCGCGGAGGGTCTGCCTTTTTGGGCCCCCAGGGAAAGACTGGAGGCTGCATTGGCTTGGAGAAGCCCGGAGGGGGGCCGAATTATGCCCTGAGGGGGCCTAGGGGGACCCTGAGGGGGCCTAGGGGGACCCTGAGAGGGTCGAGAGAAGCCCTGGATAGGCTGAGAGGGGCCCTGACGGGGCCGTTGTTGGAGGGCCGGGAATGAGCGGTCATTCACCGGCGGTGGAGCTTGCCTACTGGGGCGAGGTTGAGGTGCGCGTGGGCAACCCTTGTAGTTCGCCGGGTGTCCTGTCTGGTTGCACAGGACACAGGCGGGCGGGGATTCGGCGTCTTTGGGCCGGGGACACTCTTTAGTGTTGTGTGGCTCCAGGCACTTCACGCACCTGGGTGGGGCGGAGCAGTTGGCCGCCGCGTGACCATAAAGTTGGCAGCGGTGGCACTGCGCCGGGAAACCGGGCCTATGTGGGGGCTCTACCTTCACCCTTGACAGGCCGCACACTGTGCGCACCTGCCGGAAGATGGCTTTAGCCTCCGGCACGTTGGACAGGATTACTAGGGCAAGGTTGTATCTCTTGCCCGTACGGTTGTGCATTTTGTGCACTGCTTCTACGGGGAAACATTGGGACTTAAGGTCCTCGAGGATTTCCTCGTTGGAGAACTCAAAGGGGACGCCTCGGATGACGGCCCTGACTTTACGCTCTTCAGGGAGAGCGTACGTGTGGTAAGAGACTCTTTCGGCTGTGAATAGCCGGGTGATGGCGCGGAAGTCCTCGATCGAGGTTGGGATGATTTTAATCGCCTCCCCGAGGTTGACGGCATGGTCATACTTAATCCCTGCGTCGTAGCAGGTTTTGGACAATTGGGTGAACTTTGCCTTGTCTCTTAGGAAGACAGGGGGGCGGGACTTGCTTCTTCGCCAGGTCTGGAGCACAACGAGAGGCTGGTTTAGACGGAGTGGGGATGTCTAGTGACATCAGTGGGACGGGGGCAGCGTCAAGGGCTGCGGAGGTTGAAGGAGCGGCAGGGGCCGCTGAAGTAGGGGGGTGCGTTTCAACGCGGCGCGCTTTCCGTTGCGCTTGGAGGTGACGGTGGTGAAGTTGGACTCCCCGGTTCCGTCAGAGTCAGAGGACTCCGATGAACCGGAGCCTGAGGTAGTGGCGGGCCTCTTCCGGGAGATAGACGCCGAGGACTCGGAGCATGCGTACTCCATTTCTAAGGGGGGCTGCTTCTAGCGGGGCAAAGGAGTTCCTCGTTTCGAGGTATGCCGCTAGTACCGGCGGCGGGAGGTGTGCCTGAGGGGCAGGGAGGGGA